AATATAATTATGGTAACTATTTACTAATTTAAATATTTAAAGGCCAACAATAAAATTATTTGGCTCAAACCCAACACTTCATGATATAAAAATGTGTCTAATATGTTTTACGTTTTTGTTTATTAAAATACTAGTAAATTATACTTTTTGTTCTTAAGTGATGCAGGATTAATATTTCTTTATATATAACGTTGAAAAGGTTTACTTTTTATTTTTGAACAATGTAAGATTTTTTCATCTCACGATTTCACTCATATATATTAATAGAAAAATGAAAGATCTTATTAATTAAAAATGAGAAGAAACTTACCAAATTATATGCAAACATTCCATAGGCTCTAAAATCCAATCAGACACTGAAATTACAGACCTTGCTGATCATTGCTTTGGTCCAATGCATTGCTCTTGCTTAAATGAGCTCTACTGCCTTTCCTTCCTCAATAGCTTTGTGATTAAAAAGCCTTTCATATTCCTTATCAGCCACAGGGGCCATACCACTGCACACTTCAATTGATCTACTTGTGATAACTATTTTGCACTCATTCTGCTCTGTTGGTTCCAGGATTCCAACATCCTTTAGAGAAAATTTTTCCCATACATCATCTAATATCAGTACAAAGCTTACTTTTCCCATTATATCCATTAGTTTTGCTGCCCGCCTCATCTCTTCCTCATCTTTTCTAAGTGTTTCACCCATAGCAAGAGCAATATTCTTTTGTAATGCAAAGGACCATGATTGGTGCACACCCGGATCCCACATCCGAGTGTGGGATCCGGGTGTGCACTCATCATTTTCCTAATGCAAAAACATTGAGAGGGTATGATACAGTGACCCAAATCACTTTCAGAAACCTGTTCCCTTTCAACAAATCATTGTTAACATGCTTCATCATTGTAGTCTTACCGACTCCACCAATTCCACAAACTCCAATCATTCCAACCTCATCACCCATCAAATACTCCCAAATTTTTTCTTTAACAGATTTTTCACCCTCTAAATTCTCTGTTGGAATTATGATTCCTTGGGCTGGAGCTTTTGCAATCACAAGAGCTTCAAAAATACTACCTTGTTCATGGATTGCTTTTACCACATCAATTTTTCTACGCACATGTTTTCCAAGACAAGCTTTTCTGCACCATTTAACTCTCTGCGCCTTCTCTAAAATAGTTTGCACGTCTTCATTGATGGTTTGTACATGTTGAATCCAACCTTGCACTTCTTCTTTCACCATTTGGCCCGCACGAGCCTCTGCTTGAATTCCTGATTCTATATCTTGTTTTCGTCTATTTAGATCTCCCAATTTGCCTCTCAACTCATTCACATCATCATCAAAATTCTTGTAATGATCTACATAGTTGCAGGTTGGAGTGGCAATGCATTTTACAATTTCAAGGAATGCCCCCACAAGATCCGCCATTAAGAAAAGGTGCTGAAAATGTAATAAATAATAGAGATCAACATATGCTTTTTCAAGTGTTCATCAGAAGAAAATCTGGGGCATAAATTCATAAAAATATGAGATTTAATAAATTACCAATTTCGAGTCAATTCCTAGCAAAAGATGTTAACATTTCCATGCAAAGGATGTTAAAATTTTACATCAAGAAAGGAGATGGAGCAATTAGCATATCTAAATAAAATTTTAATTATCTTCATTGGCTTCAAAGGATGTTTTTATTTTCATTTGCCACCATTTCTGGCCCTAGTTTTCAATTCCAATTCAAGTTCCTACCAAGCAATTAATTGAAATTTCAGTTACCAATTACAACCAGAAGAGGTTAAAAGTTGTTTTCCAATTGTAACAAATGGAAAAAAAACTAACATAAATCAATAATTTATTAATTATTTTCATTTGCCATTTTTTTATTGCCTTTTCTATTAATTATTACTTTCATTAGCCTTTTTTCTTATTTTTATTCCGACAATCTGATTTGAGTGGATTGTAGAGAATGATAAGCAAATGATTTGTATTTCTATATAGAACCGTGCTAGGGGCACTCACCTCTTGCACTCTCCGTCCAACACTTCCACTTTTATTGGGCACGTTGTCTGGGTTTTTTTGCAAGAGGTTGCGTTCAAAGCATAAAACAAGCTTACGTGGCCCAATGAAAGGGGAAGTGTTGGCCGGAGAGTGCAAGGGGCAAGTGGCCCTAGCACTGTGTATCTATATAAGTTCACCAGTATATTTTTTATTTTATTTTGTACCTCAAAGAGATTTTTTTATATATATCTTGGAGAGTTAAATGCTTAATATTACAAAAGTTTAATTTTTTAATCTTGATTTAAAATCAAAAATTTTAAACTAATAGGTATCAAATTAAGTATAACATATATAGCAAAAATAAGCAATTATTACGTTAGGGAAGGAGTTGAAGTATTTTGGACACTCTGCAACCCTGGTTCTTTTTCAGATGAGGGGGTTGAAGTTGATCGATGTTTTTCCTCCCTGAAAAATGTGCCTGATTTAAATATCATCACTAAGAAAAGGTTAGAACTCCTTTTTGTTTCTATTTTTTTATCAATCCCTTCTTAGTCTCTCAATTATTGTACTAAGCTTCTTTTTTAATCTCTCGATTAACAAAATTTTCTTTGTAGTCCCTTAAAATAAATTTTCTGACTCTTTTTGGTCTCTTTGTAAGTTGTGTGCTTACTTGGTTTTGTTTCTCAATTAAGCCAGATTTAAATTTAAATTGATATGCTGACATGTGAAGATATGTAAAAATTATATTTAATTTGGATAAAAATACTGCCATGAACCATTACCTATTTTCGAAAAAAAAAAAAAAATACTGCCATGAAAAATGGGGACTTATTTGGATATATTGGAAAATTGCTTTTATGGAAAAATTAGACACAAATTATGAAAAGACCATATCAGCCTCTTCTTCCTCTCCTATTGCTCCTCTCTCCTGCCCCCTTTCATTCCAAACTCTTGGATGAGTCATGAGTGGAGATGAATTTTGGGTTTGGTTAACAATGAAAAGAAAAACCAAAACCTTTAACATTTTTGGATTTTCATTTTCATGGCGAAACCAAACAAAAGATTTGAGTGGAAAATGTTTTGTTTGGTTGCTCAGAATATGTAGAGGGCATATGGTTCTTTGAGGTCGGACATTTTATCCGTTCTTCTAAAATCAGTTAGGAAAGGGATAGTTATGTCATTTTCTTCATAAAGATTGATTTTTTTTAAAGTTATTTTCTGTTTTAGCCCCCAAAAAAGTTGTTTTCTCTGTTATTAGTATGAGATTGGTTGCAATTCAGAAAAATGGAATCATGCATCCTGAACCATATCTAACATCTAAGCAAACCAAAACTCAAGTTGGATATTGGGTTTGCTAGCCATCATCTCGAAGAAGGATGGACTTGATCACATTTTGTTAGGCGGCGTCGGTAGCGACATTGGGTTTGATTGAAGTTAGGGCTTGAAGTAGAGATGAATTTTTCTAACTTGTGATGAATTTCTTGTTTCTTTCAGTCAAAAAATCCCATGAATTCCCTGTTATTAATGTTAATTTACAGTTGAATTAGGTACCCAGAGTCAACCGGTGCCGAGGATCTCAGAATCTATCGGCGCCGGCGAAGAAGATGCTTTCAAGAAAAGTTTCAGATTCTCTGTATTGGGCAAAAGCCTAAGAATAGCCCCTTACCTTGATAAGTTGGACGGTTTTGGCCCCTCACCTTATAATATAACGGTTTTAGCCCCTAACCTATAAGAATGGAAGAAAATAACCCTTTTTTGTAACTTCCGTTCGTTGGGCTGTTACCATCCGTCACTTTCGTCTCTTCCTCTGTTATCTTTCCGTTGACTTTCTCAAAGCTTCTCCAAGAAGTCTGTTGCATTTTTTTTTGGGAATTCAAACCTTTTTTTTTTTTTT